TTTTTGAAAAATTTTGAATAAAGTCGGAGAAATTTTCAGGGTGCATTTTTCGGATGTCTCGTTTCTAAACATTTTGCTCCGACCGTTACGTAAGCGATTTGGTCAAATCCTTGATCGTTACTGTTCCGTACCTCATCGATGTCGATAAACCAGTTATTTTTATATCATCTCAATAACGTTTATGCGATCTCATCGCACGAGACTTTCACCGTTTTATTATTTCCTAGGCTTTACCTACCGGCCGTTACGTTGCATCTTTAATTGAAACGTAAAGTGTTGATTGCTGAAGAAGTAGCACGAAAATAACAAAACTGCAGTGAATCGTACACAAACGTACAAAAAAGCATGCGAAGAAGTTCTCGATCTCAGTTTTTATTGGATAGCTAGTAAACACTGGGCATGCGTAATATACGTCAAGCAGCATTCAGCCACGGAACCTCTGTCGTGGCTCTAGTTTCGTATTATTGTTTGCATAGACCGTGGAATGGTAAACAGGTTCAGTATTTTCTTTGGGTGACAGGTCATTATAATGCTCATTCTTTCTACTAAGTGATGTAACGGCCATATCAGGACTTAATTTATTATATTATATATTTTCAAGTGGTTCTGGCCTATCACAGGAGACGTCCAAAGGCAGAAATTCACCGAAATAGGTTTAAAAGTACAATGAAATTTACATTTATTTATTTATATTGTGCGATACGTAGCTATCGCGTAATTCTAAGACTAAATTCCTATTAAGTAATAACAGATAACACTCATATTTAAAACATTTTGATCGAAGTTGGAGTAGTCAATTAAGAAGTAATTGACGGTCAACTAACCAGCCCCAATTTTGACATTTCGAATTTAGACGTTGATGAACAAAACGATCATGAAAAAAAGAATCGTTAACACAATCGATCGATGGTGTTGCAGTCGAAAACCCATAGCAAATCGTTTCTTCGCGATGCAACGAGCTGTTGCGTCAAATTGCGATACACATGTGTACGTCTGCCGTTATTAACCTACGATTTTTCAAGCACCCTTGAATTATATTCACGCCTGGACATTGCGGCAATCGCTAACGCGAGTTATATCGTGTTTGCCGTTCATATTGCGCGGATATACGTTGCGATATTCGTGCTAGGACTATCGTAAAAATGTACGGTAGTCGGTTGCTTAATTTTTTCACACTTTGTCGTTGTTCGAAATATTTTTCGACATATCTAAATCTGAAATCTGTCATGAAACATTAAAGGTTTGAAATTAGGTTTTGAACCGCTAGAATCTAAAAAAGAAAAGTATGGAATAAAAAAAACTTATGCGTTATGCAAAGGGACTAAAGAGTGTTTGATTTTAATTTCATTACAAAATTATACTAAGCTACGTTATAGGAAAATTTAATTATAAAAAATCATAATATTCTTCGTTATCTGAGAAACACCTGCCATGAGTTTCAAAGGTAGCTTCTTGAAATTAATTGACTCATATTGGTAGATGCCAGTATGTTGAATTAGATGATCAGTAATAAATTCTCATAAATTCAGTAATAAGTTCTCAATTATAACAAATTAAATATAAATATTGATAAAACTAAGTACGATGTGTTTGAACAAAAACAAATAAGTATTTAATGTTGAAATGGAAACTGATTATATGGATTTACAAAAAGTAGGGGCTTTAGAATATCTTCAACTGGATAAAATGACAGAAACTATCCATATGTATCACATGATTGCAGTTATGTAGAACATGTAGTGCCGACAAAACTAAGTATTTAATTTGCAATACATTTTTCTAAGGCATTTTCGTCGTTTAATACCTATTTAGGGAACATAATAACAATAATAAAGTAAATATCTAGATAATAAAACTCAATTTGAGAACGTTACTTTGAGTATTACCCAAAATGATTTTTCATTATAACATGCCTACTTCTACAGACCAATAAAAATATAAATATTTAATGTAAGTTAATACATAAAAAACACATAATTAATGTAGAAGAAATAATTTGTAATTGATCATTTTATCAGTCTTCCATAATAATTTTAAAAGATTGTTCCTTGTTATAATATAATAGTGCAAAATCTGGTTTCCTATTAAATAATTATTATTATCATTTATACAATTAAGTCTATTTAAAAGTCTATTACGGCGGCCCTACTAAATTTAAGTTACGGTTAAGTTTACTAGAATAGTAAATGTAATAATTATACATGATTATAATAGTTTAAATCATAATCATTCTAAGATCAAGTATTATTATTTAATGCATTTTAATGAATACCCGATGAAAGCTTTATGGGCGAGACAACTGCCACGTGTGTTTTAAAATAATAATAATAATATTTGAGAACTCAACTTTTGAGCAAAATGTGATTTTTGTTGAACCAGGCCTCTTGGAGAACGGACGATCTATTTCAAATTGAAAAATCTACATTTAAGTAGAGACTATAATGGTAAATCAGTCGACGTGGGCGAGACAGGCACAGACTAGCGAACGGTCTGAAGCGGGCGTAGTGACAGAAACGGCGTTAATTAACCAAGTATTTTGCTTATATAAATTATTGTGCGCGTGGATACGCTCGCTGGCCACCGATTTTTTACGCATTAAATCTCTCTAATCGTTACAGTAGAGCAAACTCAAAATCACTTTCAAATTGCAAAACGGCCACCTTTGGAACGTACTACGTACGTTTTCGTCGCTGGTAATTGTGGCCGGCCGATTCCAAATGGTGGAATTATGAACGTTTCGATTAATCACGATACGCGGAAAAGGGTTCGAAAGATTTGGGCAATTAAACAGCCCCTGGGTCTCCGCAGCATAGCGACCAACGAAGATACGGCGACTGGAATGGGTTTCGTAACAACGCACGCTGTATGTAGTAGTCTGTAATTATGTGACAGATTTTTAAATTTCGAAAGAGTTTATACCGGGCGTCCTAAAAATAAACGTCAACATAAAAACAAAAGTTCTAAGGGTTTTTTCAAAATACAGTTTTTCCTAAAAATTTTTGAAACCTGGGGGTTAATAAATTAATAATCATTAAATATTTCATTGAAGGAGGGTCAGAAATTGATGAGACTTTGGAAAATATTACGTATTTTTAGAGCAATCATTAAGATAGTTTAAACACTCTGTATTTCGAAAACAAATCAATTTAAGAAGCAAGAATTTTTTGTAATAAATAAATAGGTAGTTATATGAATTCGTAAATGAATATAGATATGTATGAACTTTTTCTCCATAAACCACGGCTTTTATCAATTGTTTTAGTAGATAGAAATCTGGTCCTTCCTGTATATAGTTATATTACGTATATGTGTATAGTAACGCAGAAAGTTTCCTATGCGCCTCTTAGAAACTACAAAGAAAACTGATTATTGGACATCCTACTTTATAATATACGTGCCTAATTGTTCTAAATATAATTTTCATTTTGCTTCGAAACAGTGTGTGGGAAATGATTGGGCAACGACTTAACAAATTGGAGCACAATTCGCAAAATTTCTTACTATCCGGAACGCTTCCTCTTCTGCCTATACCATCGTTTTCTAAATTTTGCAATTTATGTCGTCGCTCGCTAATTGGCAGAGCATGTTATCCAATAGCCGCCGATTTCAATACTAATTATAAGCGGAATGGTTGAAAATTTGCTGCTCGCACGGAATCGCGAAATAAAAACAATATCAACGTACTGAGTACTGAGTAAAAACGGACAAAATATTAAATAATAAAACGGAATCAATTTTTAATTATTTAAATTGTCGTTTTAAGGTCCACTTACCGACGTAATTGCGGCTGGGGCCGATATAGAAAATTTGTAACAAAATGTTGGCTAATTTTGACAAAAAAACAATAACAATTTAATCGCTCTAAGCGTATTATGCAAGGCGGTTTAATGTAAAGTAAATCGAACCTGTAATTTAAGATAATACACTTACGTTTCTCGTCAAAAAACGTATTAGTTTACTGTGGAGAATACTTAATCTCACCCAAATTTCGAAAAGTCCACTCAAATTGCTAGTCACGAAATTAACAATCAGAATTAGTTACTTATCATTTATTACATCGCTTACTATTTGCAAAGGGGAAGAGGAGATTTTGTTGCTCCTTTGCTATTCATCGAAAAAATTGAAGTATTAAAGTATAATTATAATTAAAATATTCAAATATAATGTTAATATCAAATTTAAGTTTAAGTTTAAGAAATTGGCTTTTTACAACCTGTTTTTTTTTTTATTCAAAATTAAGTAAGAGGCACTAAGAGTAATAAATTTTATAAAAAAAGTTTTCGCCAATTTTTAAAAAACACTAATAGAGCTAGCAGTTTTAATATTATTTTCAGTCACCTACAAATTGAATTAATTAATTACAAGTAATTTTTCTGTAAGATTATCTTAACAAATTTTTAAATTTTTGGTTTCGTAGTCAAAATTTTTTAATCCATTTTTTGTGGCATAAATGGAAATACTTAGATATCAAATATCAATACTGTATAAAAAGAAATTAACGCATTTTTTTACAATTTAAGCAAAATATATAGCTTTTGGTCATACCTGGTCCTAACCAACTTCCGGCGCCATTTTATTAAGAACTTCCTTTTATAAAGCACAATTGATAAAACGCTTTCTAGATTATGGTTCCAACGGCATTTTTTTAGGTATTGTCCATTTGAAAGGACACCCACAGTTTTAGTTTCAAATTTCTCCACCGAAAAACCGTTCCACAAAAGTGGAAATAATTCGCTATGAAGTCAACGCACGGTATACCAACTCAACCGACAAAACCGCACACTATTTTAGAACGAGCACATAGACCAAAAAAGGGTGAAATGACCACAATACGGATTTAATTTCTCGTTAGCCCAAACCAAATTTTCTTAATTGCTTCCCTAATTAGGAATTCGCCGTTAAAATTTAATTGTCAGCCGTACTAAATGAAAAACGAAAACATATTTCGAATACCGCGTCCAAACCTGGTCGAGTATAGAAAAAAAAATGCACTGGTTTACCACTGACAGACGCATAATCCATGAAAATCGACTCGTAATCCAAAACGTACAAAAATTTCGCACCACCGTCGGGAGAGGAGAAGAAAAAAAAACACCGAACGCACTCCGGGTTTAACACTTACAAATTTCATCGTTGGTCGTCTACGAGATTGAGGTACGGGACACCGTGGTGGACGCCTACTACTACGGGTGCACTAGGTGGTAGGTGAAACAGCTGAAGACAGATGCGGGGCGACTTGACGTAGACAGGAATATATATATCGAAGTGCAGCCTCGACGTCGAGGTCAAACGCCGGCACGGGCGGAAGAGCGCGATAACAGACGGTGAAGGTCTAAGCTGAACCGACGGAGATGATGCCCAACACAAAAAACGCGGATTTTGGAGTCTTTTTAAAATGACGTTAAGAACATTTATTTATCTAAACTTTTTGTTAAATGGCTACTCTTTTAAATTTGATTCCTTCAGTGGTATAATATGGGTTGGTCTCCCATGTTTAATATATATCACCAAAACCACCAAAATAAATCTAGAGCAATAAAAAGATGTGAAAAAATCTGATTTTCTATTAAATAATTATTTTTCTGTATTTATATAATTATAGTACATTATGCAACAGGTGCGGTAAACGGCATTTGACTCACGAGTTTATTTGACACGAGCGGAGCGAGTTTTTAATAAACGAGCGACTTAAAAAGTTTAACGAACGTTTTGCATACTATACTTTTTCTACGACTGTTTAGTTTTTGGGTACATTTTCAAAGAATAACACGATACATTCACTGACATGACCGTCAGAATTGACAGACGTCAAAATTCAAATCGTGGGAAATATCTCCGAAAACATCCGATTGCTTCAAAATCTTGTAAATGCCCGAAGTGGTTCGGATTCGTGGGAAACGAAACTGACGTGGTAAAGTGACGTTTTCCTCACGCTAGATCGCTGTGTAATTAGGTATTTTACAGACGGGAGTAGGAAAAGTTTATTGAAAAGTCTATGACAGCGGCCCTACTAAGTTTAAGTTATGGTTGAGTTTACTAGGATAGTAAATGTAATAATTATACAGGATTATAACAGCTGAAATCATATTCATTCTAAGATCAAGTACATAGAAACCTATATAGAAGTAAGAATAATATGAAACTAGAAAAATTGTAATAAATATTATTATTTAATGCATTTTAATGAATGCTCCATGACGGCTTTATGGATAAAACAACTGCCACGTGTGTTTTAGAATAATAATAATATTTGAGACTCGACTTTTGAGCAAAATGTTGTGATTTTTGTTGAACCTTTGGGGAACGGACGCTCTACTTCAAATTGATAAATCTACTTAAAAGACGGTGATGATGCCCAACGAATTTTGGGTTATTTTTAAAATGACGTTGGGAACGTTTATAAAAACGGAGAATGTTCACGTCAAGTAAATAAAATCTGATCCATGTAATCCTTCTTTTTTAAATGGCTACTGTTTTAAATCTGATACCATCAGTGATGTAATATAGTTTGATTTCCCATGTTTAATATATATCACAAAGCCACCAAAATATATCTCGAAGCAATAAAAAAGATGTGAAAACATGGGAAGTCTAAAACGAACAAAAAAATAATAACTTCGGCCCGGTTAATATTTGGAAGTTAAAAGTGTATAAAACACATAACCTAATTAAAATTTGATTAAATTGTTAAATAAATCAAACTCTATTGCCGTTGCTAAGCAATATGGATTTTTTTCATTTTCGTGTTTTTCTTCGGCCGGATCTTGAATTGTTCAAATAAAGCGTATCCGCCATTTTATCGAGAAAATTAACGCCGGGCATGGATCCTGGTCAGATCCCGCTTGCAGATAAAAAACCGCAAATTTTGAATGGAAATTTTGGTACTCCCAATTACATTAAACAATTTTTAAATTCTTCGCTCTCGTTGTGGTAATTAAAATCGTTTTACAAACCAATCAATCAAAATATAAAAGAATATATGGTTTTGGTTAGTTCTACGGGATGGATGGAAACGCTCATTTTTGAAAAAAATAAGCTGTAGGACATAGAACATTTTTTAAAAGTCAAAATTTAATTAAAGAATTACTGAATGCGACAGGGCAATGGCCATTGTCATTTTTGTAAGACATTAATAATGACTTGTGGTTAGTCCTCTATTTAAAGTTTGGCGGGAATTTGTTAACTTAATTTGTTATAATAACTAATAGGCAGTAGTACACATCATAACTGCATCGTTTGTCTATAAAACGCACATCACTAACTAATTAAAATGAGAAAATTTTGGCTATTTTCCTTAATCAATTAAGAAACTGTCATGATTAATATTTCTAACTCGTAACCCAGAATAACCTTGCAAAAAGACGACAGGAGCACTTTTTCATTAAGTAAATCATCCATCTTTTTGCATGTAATGTTATTGTTGTAAATATTTTTAAGTTGAAATGGTTAGTTTCGATTGGGTTTAGTTTTCTTTTCTTTAATATGGACACTAAGCATTATATTCATAATATTTGGGTTAAAATCTTTAGAATGGATATGTTTCTTGGTCGAGGAAAGCTCATGCATATGAATTCCACTCTAAGGAAGCCACGATCCACTCGAATTTTCGCAGCTGACAATAACAACGACGTACCACAGATCATTGTCATGTTACCGCTCACGTAAGCACCTAAATTCATTTTTAACAGAGGCGTAAAACCCAAGAGCGTTCGCGCTTCTATAATTAAAGTTCGTCGCGAGTCTCCTGAAGCGTCAAGTGATTTTTTCGCTTTTGAAAAATCCATAAAAACCACAAAAGCCGTGGGACAATGAACGGAATAAGTTGCTGGTTCGTTTGTCACGGTGCACTTAGTATGGAAGTCAATGTTAGAATACCAATTTCGTAATTTTTTCTACCAAAATAAGGATTTTTTTAATCAATTCGATCGAATTAGCGGTTTCACGCTCAACCGGGTGCGAGAATCTGCATACACCTAGTTTATGCAAATTGAAAAAATCGTTTAATTGATAACCAGCTTGGGGTTTTGTCTGTGATGACTAATTTCTCATTCTGATTTTTAAAAAATAATTTATTAATTAATTTTTCCGCCCCGCTAAGCTTCTTAAGTTTGTATTTAAACTAGTACTAGCGGTATTGGGAACGTTAAAATGTATTACTTAGTGTACAAAAAATAATGCTTGTACGTTTTTTTCTAGGCTAGCTTGAAATTAGTAATAAAAAACCTTCTTGGCGTTCCCGCTTAAATTAGTGGGTTTACGTAAAATACGCTATTAAAATATTTTTGATTCGTAATTGGATTGTTACAGAAAAAAAAACATATTTCATAACTAAATAGATTCACGTACATGTCATAGCATAGCATATACTTACAATAACAATAACAATAATGCTTTGTTGTCCAAAAGTTATCCATTAATAGGACAAAATGAAATAAGTACATAAATATATCAATAGTCAAAAAAGGAAAAGGAAGAGAAGATAAAAACAAAATAACCGAACAAAAAAAAGGAATAACGCCCTTTCATACACTAAATTTGTAGGTTAGATCAAAACAAATAGCTTAATAAAAGGGGAAAAACTTGCAAATGAAATGATCAATAAAATTGGCGCTTAGAACTTTCTTCTAAACTAACTAAACCTAACTAAACTAACCGTTTTCCAAAACGACCTATGACTTTTTGAACTGATGACGAAAATTTTTTCGTGAAAATCTGAACTTTTAGTGCTTATTTACTATGATTTTTTGCTAATTTGGTTAAAAATATTATTTTTTTACTCCAGTCTGTAAAATATCTAATTACACACCGATCTAGCATGCGGGAAGCGCCACTTTACCACGTCAGTTTCTTTTCCCACGAATCCGAGCCACTTCGGATATTTCCGGGATTTTACTGCCCGGTTTTGGAAGCAATCGGATGTTTTCGGAGATATTTCCCAAGCTTTGTCAATTCTCACGGTCATGTCAGTTAATGTATTGGCGTTGTCTTGCGAAAATGTACCCAAAAACTGACAGTCGTAGAAAAAGCATAGTATGCAACACGTTCGGTAAACTTTTCAAGTCATTCGTTTATTAAACACTCGCCCCGCTCGTATCAAATAAACTCGTGAGTCAAATGCCGTTTACCGCACTTGTTGCATAATATACCATAGGGCAATTTTTCTGTTGATTTTTATTCTTATTTTCTATCGCAGTTATCCTTGGCAATGGCCCTCAAAAATTCCCTTATGCTACTGTGTCCCTTTCAATTATGCGAGGTTGTTGTTATTTATCATAAAAAAAAATTTATCCAACCATATCTAACCATAATGGCCAACTAAAATGAGAGAGCTTTATTCATTTGCGTGCCTTAAGAATGATTTCATTCGAATCAGAAATTTTGATAAACAAAAAGTTATTAATTTACAACCACCCTGTAATGATATAGGAGCCAAACAATTCATAAAAGTGAAAAAGCAGAAAATATACTTCGTTGTCAATTCAATTGTTCTTGGGAATTTTATATCTTCGCTTATTTCTTCCGGCACGTTGTTTATCATACTAACCATGCCCTGGATTAACCTTGTTCTGTGAATTTCCGAAAATCCGACTTCCTAATTTGCGTCGAAGACCTCCATCTTTATACGTCATCTTAATATTCCCGGAAACGATCGCTCAAGTAGCGTGCGACTTATTTTTTGTCGAAGTATTGTACTAATTCTTTCGATTGTTGACGCGTAGGAAGTTTGCGTTACCACTTATAAATTTTAATGTTTTTTTTTGTCGTAAAAAGAAAAAATTGTCGCGTCTAAAAAAAATCCCTAGTAATGTTAACTTCCCGCGAAAGTTAGCATTACCTTAACTTGTACTTTCTGAATATTTTATTTATTCATAAGGTGTAAAAAAAATACCGTCTCACCGCGTCGCTCTGGTAATGTTAGTTTTATTCGGAAGTTGGCACTACCACTCAGGTGATTGCAAATTCTGAATATTTTATTTTAAGATTAGCTGATATTTTTTTATCGTAAATTTTTCGTAAAAGAAAAAAAATTTGCGCACAGCGTTTTTTTTTAATCCCTTGTAATGCTTCACGCGAAACTTGGGATGCTTACCCTTAAAACGTGCAATATCTGCACGTTTTATTTTTGAATTAGTTGAC